GTCTAAGACGTGGCCTAGATACAAAACTTGGGTCTTCGCCCAATCGCACTTCTTCGCATTGATCTTGAAGTTAGCTTCTCTCAGCTTCTCCAAGACCTGCCTGAGATGACCCTGATGCTCGTCGAGGGTCTTACTAAACACTAGAATGTCATCTAGGTACACTACAACAAATCTATCTAACCATGGCCTAAACAAATTGTTCATACAACGCTGGAACGTAGCCGGCGCATTGGTTAGTCCAAAGGGCATCACTATTAACTCATAGTGCCCGTACCTAGTCCGGAAGGCTGTCTTATACTGATCATCAGGATGTACCTCTATCTGATGGTCCGGACTTTAAGTCTATCTTAGAGAAGTACTTGGCCCCTTGCACTCGATCTAAGAGATCGTCTATCCTAGGCAGTGGCTCAGCATTCTTTACTGTAATAGCATTCAGACCCCTATAGTCTATACACATCCTCAGCTCTCCCTCTTTCTTAGGGAAAAAGAGAACAGGGGCTCCAAAAGGAGACGAACTGGGCCTAATCCAACCCTTTTCGAGGAGCTCGTCCAATTGCTTCCGTAGCTCCTCTAACTCCCGCGGGGACATTCTATATACAGCACCCTTAGGAGTTCTACTGCCAGGCTCTATCTCAATACGGTGCTGGATGGGCCGCGGCACGGTGCCCGTCGGCGGCTTAGTTAAATCCTTAAACTCTTCCAGCAATTTGGCAATAGTAGGGTGTACGGGCTTCTCTTCCCTAGGCTCAGTCACTGGCCTACTATTGGCGACAAAGACCTGTTCCTCCAATTGCTCCTTCTTCACCAATCTGGCGAATGCGGGCGTGCTCAGGCAACAATGTGCCGAGGAATTCTCTACGCCTGACACATGGAACAGGCGGGCAGTCTTAGCCTCGCCTGAAGAACTAGGGAGCCTACACTCGTGCTCCTTCAAATGGAGCGTGGCCCCGGCTGCCTCTCCCCAATCCATTCCTAGAACAATGTCGAATGGGAGGCTGTCTTCTACGAGGAGAGTCAGGGAGTGGAGGACCTTCTCCACTTTCCCATCCTTCTCTAGGCTGAAATACGCCTGGACTCCCTCTACATACTCCTCTACAACCATAGTATGATTGTCTGCGAGGATACTAACTATGGGATCTGCTAGCTTTTGGACTTTAAGCCCCAGCTTCAACTTCTGCAGCGCCTTCCTACTAATATAGCTGCGGGTAGCCCCTGAATCTACTAGGGCCCCTACTCTACCTCTAAAAATCTCTACATCTACCAGAATTAGTTGTCCTTTCTGTTCTTTTTTCATCTTGGCCCAGGCGGGCATCCTCTCCCTCAATTCTTCGGCCACGCCTGTGAGGGAGGTGTCTAAAGAGACCCTGACACAAGCAGTCTCTGGACAATTGTCTAGACACCGGCCTGCAACCTCTGCCATAGGCACATGTGGTGTGGGAGTCTCCTGCTGGCTAGCGCTATGTTCCCCACATGGCCTAATGGTAGGGGCAGTTGCTACCCCTACCGGCGGCTGCCTTTTGGCCCTTGGGCAGCCGTTCGGGTCTCTCTATACTTAGGACAATATTTGATGATATGGCCCGGGTCACCGCAGAAAATGCACTGGCCCCGGTCCAATCGTTGTTGCC